TTAAAGTTTGCAATACTTTGAAAAGCAACTCTTTATACTGTAACATGTATTTATTAAGTTTTACAAGGTTTTGCAATAAATCAAATGCCAATATCTAAAACTTAACCCAGACAGGTCTAGGGAGAACTTATGAACTGGACAACTAAAATGACATTGCCAAGTACTGGCCTGACATATAGTGACTACATTTACATGGACATCAGTAATCAAATTATTTGCCTTAATCTGATTAAGATAAAATTTTTTTAAATGTTCCTTTTATGATCCCGTTTTACATGTGATAGCACATAGATCAATTAACGTCATCGCTTCACTGCGCTATTCACTTTCATTCAGTAATATTTCATGCATGCCAAACGAGATATTGGATGTGAGTATGAACTGCTGGAAGAGTGTTGTTTTAATGAAATTTGATTCCACACACCATATGGAAACTTATGTGACTAAAATCAGCATATTCCACATGCCTTAGTCCGATTTCTGCCTATTTCGATAATAAACTTAATCAGATAAAATTAATCACAAATGGCTGTTTACATGGTAGACTTATAATCAGAGTATTGTCTTAATCGTATTAAAACCATATTATTGGTGTCCATGTAAATGTACTGTTTTTAGATTTATCATTAATGTTTTGTTAACATGAATGAATGTTACCACATTTTTTTTTTGTTTTTTTCTTAGAATTAATTCTAACCCTAATTCAGAGGAGTTGCACTTTTAACTTGCTTTATAATATATATATATATATATAATACTAAAGGTATTTAATTTCAGTTCCTTGTTAAATTACCTCTCATTTTAAGTCCACAGCTTGGGTCCAGAGTGGACTACTCAACAGACTCTGTCCTTGGTGAGATTTCAAGGATTGCATCCAGCCCACACGGTTTATCAATATTTTTATTTTGTTGCCTGCTTTGCACAGGATTTGTTTCATTCTCTTATTGATTTAAAGAAGCAAATACTTGTATGTACTTCTTTTTCCTTCCCAAACCACATATATTCTAACAGCATATGTGATGCTCTCATACTCTCTCATGCTATCATTCAACTGTAACGAATGGTGCTTCGTAGCTTGTTTGTAGAGTGTTGTACAAAATCGATGGAGCAGTCTTGAAACAAAATCTTCCTTTTTTTGCTTTTAACCTGGGAATGAGTCACATCAAGACTCAAAGATGGATGGATAACTGACAGCTTTAACTGTTGAACACTTCTCCCAGCATCTTCAGTTATTTTTTATGGGCCTCTGAGGAGCTTGGAAAGGAAGGCTGTCATAGGTCCCTGCATCGCTCAGGCTGATAACTTATTTAACATGTTTGTGCTCATAATACTTGAAGAATCAGCGAAGAGTTGTTCCCTTTGTAAGGAGGATGATGCCTCAGGGAAGGTGAGGGAGGAACAGCAGCAGTGCTCTCCGTTGTTTTAGAGATGAAGCGAAATCCTTGATGATTTGAATAGACTTGATGGATTTGCTGATAGGTATGCCTACAAAAATATGATTATGCTCTGCCCGCTTTGACTGGGATTAAGCTGCCCATCAGACTACCCAACCTGTGGTTTCATTATCCCCTGAAACCTCTCAGGTTAGCTTGTGTGCTTTTGAGCTGTCTATATAGTTTGCTCCTCTCAAAGATAAACAAAAGTTACAAAAGATGCCTCAGGTTCTATACATTTACTGCTGAAGCTCATCTGCTCCCTTTGGTAGGTCTAGAAGTGGTAGATTTTGCATGGACTCATTCAACACTCTGCACTTATGAATATTACATCTGTCTATCTCTCTTTTTTCAGTTATGTTTCTTTCTTTGCATTCGAGACTAAATTACAATTCTGGATCATGTTTCAGGGCTGCTAAATTGCTAAAGTTGAAAAAGGTGGCAACCTGGGTGTAATCCGGGGCTAGTTTGGGTACTGCTGATAAGGGGAATGAAGCTGCGTTCACTCTATTGGTTTATAAACTGTCATGCATTTTTCTCTTAGACGGAGATGTGTCTAAATATGACTATATATTTATTTTGAAACCTTTGTGATTAACCCCCAACCTCAAAAATAATTTCTACAGATCTAAATGATTCACATGTATGACCTAATTCAGGATGAAAATGGCGAATTTTGCCAAGAGGTGACAAGTTTTCACCCTTTGTGTTTTATTCCTCAGTTCAAATTCAGAACATTGCTGGTAAAACTGGTGTGGCGTTGTGAAAAATCATTCGAGAATTCAATTCTGTTTTAATTCTGAGTATCGCTACTCTTCCTAAACTTGATTCTGAGTTTGGTCTTTAACAGCAGATGGCGCTCTAGGAACGTTTTTAACCATATGCTCAAATGCTCATGAAGAAGAACGGCTCAGTCATGTAAGTTGGCTTCGATATCACACTGCTTACTCCGAACACTGGTAATTTGCTTACATTTTTCCTGAGTTTATTAATGGACACTTTTGTTTTATTTGTATGAAATTTTGATGGAAGCAGAGTATGACTGTTTGTAAACCGAGATACAGTGGCATCTGCTGTTAGGCTTCTTGAAACACTTAAATAGTCGAAGCAAATGTGTTAAAGCTTTAAAACGTTTTTAAACCTGTCTCTAGAGTGAACATAGTGATAATTGTTTTATGTATTGCTCTGGAACAGCTTCAGCAAAGAAACAGTTAAGCAAATTGAGGAATTATACCCCATGATGTAGAGTTGAAGTTTCAAGTGATTTAAGGCCTACTCACACTATGCTATCCGAACCATGCCCAGGCCCGTTTCCCGAATCGTTTGAGAAATGTGAGTGTGGTTCACTTTACCGGCCATGGCCCAGTTGGAAGAGGTGTGCCTGAGCGCGGTTCACTTGGGCTTTGGCGCGGTACGTTTGTGTGTGAGTGCAAAACGTGCAAAAAGCCCGAAACTGAAAGCGAGATGTAACTTTTAAGGGACCATTTGGTATGTGGACCGTTTGGTATTAATATGGATTATATGGATTAATATGAATTAATTATTCATTCTTACTGTTTAGTGAATGCAAACTGTCGTAGATTATTAAAGACACAAACCCCACACTGCATGACAGCTGCACACCTTCAGCAAACCTCATAATTCCTGCTGCATGAGTACTTTATGGTAGTTTATGAGTGTCAGCAGTGCTGGATTTATTCGGCGAAATATGTCACTGCATATCAAACAACTGAAACAATATAACTAAAGAAATCTCCACTGTGCTGAGCGAAAGCGCTTACTGAACAGCGCAGCATCGATTACGTAATCCTGCCCAGGCCTGAATGTAATGTGAGTGCGGGCCATCGGGGGAAACGGGAGGGGGGACTAGCTTGCGTTTGCCCAGTTCAAGGCAACTGTACATAGTGTGAGTACGCCCTTAGTGGAGTGATGAGAGTTCTTGACTAGCATGCAGAGATAATGGGTTTGAATCCAAGGTGATGCAGCTAAAGATGTTTGTTTTTAAATGCTGTAGTCCTGTAACATGTTTTGCTTTAACATTGATCTGACATTCGAATTAACACTTTGTGAATAAATATGTCTTGTTTTGGTCATGAAAATTAACATTTTTAAAATACATAACGTCATTATTTCAGAGTATGTGCACAAGTCGGTATTTGAATTTGGGACTTTTACTGCACAGTTATTCTGCTAATGCATGGTTCACTAGGCTACATGAGTTTTTTTTACCCTGTCAGTCAAATGCAGATTCGCCAGGTCTCGAAACGCTTCTGAAATGACCAATGCTTTGAATCGCTTTAGTCACATGACCTGGTGTTTCTAAATACTTTGTCACGTGACCCGGGTGTTTCAAATCACCTTAGTCATGTGACCTGGGTGTTTCCAATCATGCTTCAGTACAGAGTTTTAAAACACTTGCGCTTCGGGATCTTGACACTATTGAAACTTGAAATTCACATCAGTCATCCCTATTAAAAACTACGCTGAATTGATTCAAGAAAGAATAGCCATGCATTTTCAAAATCTCAGAAATTATGTAGAGTTGATTTCTCAAACAAGTTTGACCACAGCACAATAATTTACATGTGATTCTCACTGACAAGGTATTGTTATGGTTACAATATAGGTACTGCAGTTATCACTGAGACATTTCATCTATGCCTGCTTAAAATATCTGTAAGGTAATTGAGCTGAAAATGGCTCACAAAAAGGGTGAATCTTAACTGAAATGCTCCTTAGTGAAATGTACTGTAAGAACTGCAAGTGAGTTGCTTGGAAAATAGGACCTCGGCACCAAAAGACATTTGGCCCACTGACAAGCTCTGCAGCAGGCAGAAGTCACTCTCCCAATGTAAAGTGTTAATTAAAAGTTTGGGAGACAGCCAAGCAGTCGTAAATTTGTAGTTGTAGGCAGTCGCCTTTACAAGATATGCTCCTCCAAACTTCCCCTACATACCTAGCTGTCACATTCAGTAGTTTTGTGTGTTTTCTGTCTTGGCAGGCTAATGTTTGTGCACCGCGTGAAGTTCCTCTGATTGTTGTGACCTAAACACCACTGTCTGAACTTGGCAACTGAGTTGACGCTAATGGGGGTTTTAGATGGTGATATACAGCTGTTTTGTTCAGATGCAGCTTAGCTGCACTCAAGGGACCAGTAACCTTGGCTAGGGTAAGGATGCATACATATGCTGCAGTGATACTTGTTAGCTTTTTGTGTCATGCCGATCAAAGGAAGCCTGTTGCATGCTTGTGTAAATAGGGTTTATTTTCACTCTTGCATTCCCGACATAACAGGCTATTCATATTGTGTGGTGTGGATAGACACATGAAGAGGCCGACAGTCTGTTTGGACGTCCTCCATTGGCAACTTCTGAGTCTACCGCCAATGCAGCCACACACATTTATAAACTCTACAGTACCTTAAGCTGTCCAAAGGACCTACGTAAAACCATGACACCAACCCCCCACAGAAAGCCACCACACCACTCTAGACGACTTGTATTCCCTTGACTGATTTACATTCTATTGGCCCCTGACTGTACACTTGCCCTGGTTACTTTTTGTCAGGCCACAAGTCAGCTGGGGTGTTTACCCAAAGGGAGGGGGGCTTTTAAAAAACAACCAGGTGCGACCCTTATATTCAGGACTCAGCGAGTAGTCTAGAGGCAGTGGGAGGAGGTAGAACCAGACTGGAATCTACGCTAGACACACTTCCACTATAGGTTACTCTTGATTCTATATCCTTTTGTGCTTTCTATTTACACTCCTGACACATCCCAGGATGTACACCTACAGTAAACCTGGTCACTTCACCTGGACTGCAACATTGAGAGAGTGTGGAAGCCTCACTAACAGGGGTAAGTGAGAAGATGTATCTCTGCAATGCTCTGAATGCACATCAATGAAGGCACTTGGCAAGAGCGTGCCGTGAGTGAAGAGAGCTCACAGAGGAGCTTGCACAGGCAAATCTATTCTTTTATTTGCCCACATTGGTCTTGTGCAACTTTTCACACCTTTTAATCCGGCTGCATGAGCTTGATGTACTTTTCATTGAAAAAGAAATGCTAAGAGTGAATATTCTCACCAGATATGTTTACAAAATCGGTTAAAGTCTTAAATTGTATGCCTGACTGATCATGATTCTCATCCTAATTGATCCAGACGTACTGTTGTTAATGTGAAAGAATTTGCATGAGTGCTTTGGCTCTGTCTTGGTATTGGTTTACCAGAAAGATGGGCGGAGCTTTTCTTTACCATCTTAATCTTGGCATCTGACATGGAATTTTGGCAACCACATCTCAAGCCCCACCTCATTGCTTTTAACTGTGCCTAAGAAGATCTTGAGTTATTTCCATCAACTCAAGACATTGCACAACAGCTGTATCAGGTTTTGTTGCTAAAATAAAACAGACCTTCCTTATTCACGGCACACATTGCCATTTCTTCCCTGTCAAAATTGCATTATTTTTATCTTAAGACTAACTCAGCACATTTAAAAAAGAAATGTACTTCTTGCCCACTCTGTTTCATTGTCATGATCCATTGGCTTGTCACTTAAACGTAGAGTAGTTATGCTATAGCATTATGCAAGTATAAATAAATACTACCCACAACCCATTTGTGCCAGGAGAATGCCATTGAGAGAGAACGAATGCTTCAAAGCTCTTCTGGCTTTAGGGAGTTCAAGTCCCACAGGTGCAGGTTATAAGTTATAAACTCTGACTGTTTGGATTAAAGAGGGATTCATTGGTATTGTCTGTGATGAAGTCACCTTGCCGTTTATAGGCATACAATATCTGCAACATTTGACACTATTTCTTAGCTCTAGAACTGAATGCACCTAGCTGAACTGAATGTTCTGTACTGTTTATACTTTTCTGCAATATTGGTAAAGAAAAGATCCCCGTTGTGTAATTTTAGCCATGACTGTATCCATTGGGGATTTCAAATATTTGTTCATTCTGCCTTGCCATTGGAGGCTTTAGGAAGATTAAGCCGAAAACCCAGCAGGCAGTACTGATGTGTCAATAACTCTTCAGGGTCAACCTTCTCGTTTTATTAATAGATAATGGTGGGCCAACTTTGACTCCTTGTAGATATTATAATTACCCTATTGTACTATAAAACGATGTGATGATCCTCTCTAATTGAGTTCACCTGCTAAAATCAAATGTTTATTTTTGATGCATAGTGGGTTAGCATTGTGCTAATGCCACTTTTCAAGTGGACACGATTAACCCAGTGATTCAGCTTGAAAAAATGCGAGTTGCTGGTGGCTTTTTATTTTATTCCCAAAGCAGGTTTCTGGTTTCCTCTTGAAGTTCAAGGATAAGTCCTGCCATTTCCACTTAGCCATCACCGTGCTTGTTTTAATCAGCAGCTGTTGCTCTGATGGAGAAGACTTGGATCTGTTGGCTCCCAAAGGTACAAGAGATACTATATACCGTTGCATTTTTACCTCACTAAAACCTGCTTGGAACAAGAATGAACAATATTCTACACCTGTTGTCATTTTACAGTTCTTCTAAATGTTAATAAAATGTTGTACCAAAGTTAACACACAAATTGTGGCCTTTTCCTGCTGAAAAATCCAGCTTAAACCAGCCTGGGCTGGTTGGCTGGTTTTAGCTGGTCGACCAGCCTGGTTTTAGAGAAGTTTTGGCCACTTCCTGGCTGGTTTCCAGCCATTTCCAGTCTGGTCTTAGCTGGTCAGGCTGGTAGATGACTAGCTAAAACCGGCTTGACCAGCCTAGCCAAACTGGGAGTCCAGCCAAAACCAGCTATATCTAGCTTTTTAGCTGGTCAACCAGCCTGGTTTTAGAGGAGTTTGGCCACTTCCAGACTGGTTTCCAGCCATTTCCAGTCTGGTCTTAGCTGGTCAGGCTGGTAGATGACTAGCTAAAACCAGCTTGACCAGCCTAGCCAAGCTGGGAGTCCAGCCAAAACCAGCTATATCTAGCTTAAACCAGGCTGGTCAAGCTGGTTTTAGCTGGATTTGGCTGGTCATATTCCAGCCTGACCAGCTAAGACCAGGCATGAAATGGCTGAAAATCACCCTGGAAATGGCCAAAACCCCTCTAAAACCAGGCTGGTCGACCAGCTAAAACCAGCCACTCAACCTAGGCTGGTTTAAGCTGGACTTTTCAGCAGGGCTTTACAAGTGGAAAAAGCCAAAGGAAACCATTGGCATGTCTTAGAGTACCTAGTATTAGATCTTGTTGTGACCATTCATCATTGTAGCTTGAGCTGGGGGTGTTCTCTTTCAGATAATAATTCTTTTAATGGTAAGCCAGATAACCTTTGCCAGGATGTTTTTTTTTTATGTCTATCTTGAGGTGGAACTTTAAGTGACTAGTGTTTGGTGTCTGTTTGTATTCTCACAGTACTACGTAGGAATCATTACTAAGGACTGAGTGACGCTTTTATAGAATGAACATGGCAGTGGCATGGCACAAGCTATTCTGTACACAGAGGACTTCTAAAAATGGCTTGGCAAAGTATGGCACACGATCATGATCAAGGCCTAAGTCAATGACAGTGGCATTCTTTTATTAACATAGTGAAGTGGTTCCCAAACTGATTACTGGTGATCATTTAAGGATTAAGCTGCAAGGGAATGCAGAATTAATACTCGTCACTATTGATGAACGTTGTGGTCCTTTGAAGTGGAATGATTCGTCTGAGCAAGAAACTGAACATTATTTAGAATATGTTTAACCTTAATCCACAGCATCTGCTTTGAATCACGTAATAACATGGACATAGTGCCAATTGTCTTGCATTTTATTTTATATTAATGACTAGGGCTGCATAATATATCATTTCAGCATCAATATTGCAATGTGATAATTCGCAATAGACACATCGCAGAATGTATGCAATATAGAGTTTGTATTATAATTTATAGTTTGCATGTGTTTTTGATGCCTGCAATCGTACAATGATTTCAAAAGCATTCAGGCATAAGAAATTGTACCACTTTTGAATTTAACAATGATTCATTTTATTGAATTATTTTTATTTAAATCATTTAATTACTGTACTTGCTTACTGTTAGACTAGGGAAATGATAAAACATTATATATGATAAATTCTTTCCAAACAGACATATGAAGTCATTTGCTGAAATTATACTCATGTTGCAATATACACTCACTGGCCACTTTATAAGGTACACCTGCTTAACTGCTCGTTAATGCAGACTTCTAACCAGTCAATCACATGGCAGCAACTCAATGCTTGTAGGCATGTAGACATGGTCAAGACGATCTGCTGCAGTTCAAACTGAGCATCAGAATGAGGTAGAAAAGTGATTTAAGTGAGTTTGAACGTGGCATGATGGTTGGTGCCAGACGGTCTGATCTGAGTATTTCAGAAACTGCTGATCTACTGGGATTTTCATGCACAACTATCTCTAGGGTTTACAGCAAATGGTCTGAAAAATATAAAACATCCAGAGAGTGGCAGTTCTGTGTGCGCAAAGGCCTCGTTGATGCCGGAGGTCAGAGGAGAATGGCCAGACTGGTTTTAGCTGATAGAAAGGCAACAGCAACTCAAATATCCACTTGTTACAACTGAGGTTTGCAGAAGAGCATCTCTGAACGTGCAACACATCTTATACCTTGAGGCGGATGGGATACAGCAGCAGAAGACCACACCAGGTGCCACTTCTGTCAGCTAAGAACAGGAAACCGAGGCTACAATTGACACAGGCTCACCAGAATTAGACAATAGAAGATTGGAAAAACGTTGCCTGGTATAATGAGTCTTAATGTCTGCTGTGACATTCGGATGGTAGGGTCAGAATTTGGCATCAACAACATGAAAGCATGGATCCATCCTGGCTTTTAGTCAACGGTTCAGGTTGATGGTGGTGGTGTAATGGTGTCGAGGTTATTTTCTTGGCACACTTTAAGCCCATTAGTACCAATTGAGCATCGTGTCAACGCCACAGCCTACCTGAGTACTGTTGCTGACCATGCCCATCCATTTATGACCACAGTGTACCCATCTTCTGATGGCTACTTCCAGCAGAATAGCGTTCCACGTCATAAAGCGCAAATCATCTCAGACTGGTTTCTCGAGCATGACAAGGAGTTTTACTGTACTTAAATGGCCTACACAGTCACCAGATCCTAATCAAATAGAGTAGCTATGGGATGTGATGGAACGGAAGATTCACATCAGGTATGTGCAGCTGACAAATCTGCAGCAACTGCGTGATGCTATCATATTATTATGGGTCAGAATCTCTGAGGAAGGCTCAACATGGCACTAGTACCTAAAAAAATGGCCACCTAATAAAATATTGCAATGCTAGATTTTTTCAATATCGTGCTGCCCTATTAAGAACCACGATTTTAACTAAAATATCTCTAATGCTCTACTGAAGGTAAAAAGTGACTTTTTAGATGGTTTGAGGGTGAGTAAATTAATAACAAGTATTCAATTTGGTTGCCTTTAAATCTACCGATTTAGTCTCTCATTGTTAAATAGTCCTATTAATTTACTAAATAATTGCTGATTGAAATATTAATTTAGAAATTGCTCCTTTTCAGCCCTTTTCTTTTCAAACTCTGAGGTAAAATGCAAGCTGTCAAAATATGAAAGTCATGTTTCATATGTATTTATTCTGACACATATCAGATGTGACAGTTGCTAAGCAATGAAACGTTGCCCAGGGAACAGTCAATTTGGTAGAATGAGACACCGGGAAATCTTTTTTTTTTTTTTTTCGTTTCATAATTGCTGGATTTGATCTAAAAATTCTGCTTTGCTTTGAATTGAGGCAGAATGAATCATCAGTCTTACAGCGCTTTCTGAAAATCCATCATTTCTGACTAGAGTTTAAACTTTT